CAAACCCAAACCCAAACCCAACCCAACCCAAACCAAACCCAAACCCACCCAAACCCAAACCCAAACCCAAACCCAAACCCAAACCCAAACCCAAACCCAAACCCAAACCCAAACCCAAACCCAAACCCAAACCCAAACCCAAACCCAAACCCAAACCCAAACCCAAACCCAAACCCAAACCCAAACCCAAACCCAAACCCAAAACCCAAACCCAAACCCAAACCCAAACCCAAACCCAAACCCAAACCCAAACCCAAACCCAAACCCAAACCCAAACCCAAACCCAAACCCAAACCCAAACCCAAACCCAAACCCAAACCCAAACCCAAACCCAAACCCAAACCCAAACCCAAACCCAAACCCAAACCCAATAAGAAATGTCCAAGACCAAGACCAAATTAAAAACAGTCAAAATCAACATTTATCAATTATCTCCACAAATATCAATAGACATTCAATATAACTTCATAGATATGTTGTACTAGCTATTGTAAAGATGTAGTATCACTTTCATAAGGAGTGGTGAACATCATCACAACATACAAAGAACATGTCACATTTTTTTCAAACCTTAATGTCACATCATGCACACAACAACGAACAACACTTCAAATTGATATAATATATAATATACCATGACCACTTCATGATGATGATAGAATAATCAAAATTCATGTCATCTCTGTGGTGCACAACTCCATCAACTATTTAACATTTTATTGCATAATTCACAATGAACATAAAAGATGGATCCTCGAAATCAATCACATATCATGACATCATCATGGTCAACATGTACTCCGACGAATATCAGAATTTGGAAAACATGAAATCTACCACACACTTTTCATCTTTAGTTTCATCCGCCAAATGTTATGGTCAGTACTGTCTGTAGAGATTAGTCAAATGAATCAAACAACACACTTGAAACACACATAAAGATGATCACTATCAATACAGTTCATCATGATTTATTCAAAATGATACAATCCATCAACTATCGACATGATCACTTGCCAAACGAAATTCAATAAATGAGATGACGACTACAAACATGAACACACCTTGCACACCATCCATGTAGTACATGCACAAATCATGAAAATCATCATATTGAACATTTGTTTTCAACAATGAATCACAGAAAACAAATGCAAAATACAACAAGGTCACTTCTTGCAATGAATCATACAACAGATGAGAGCGCTTCACCAACTCGATACAGATGACACAAGAATAAACACTCAGTGATCAAGTACATCTATCAGAGTTAGAATCTCATGACATACTGATGAATGTATCATTAAACATTGAATTCATTCGATGGAAGATCCAAAATTGTTGCAGACCAGGTCGAATACAAGTTTAAATTGTCAAATTGCATCGATCATGATTCCATCACTTACTTGCTGAACAGTTTTACACTGAACCATACTTGCTGTTGTTTGTGAATGGTTCATCCCCAACCGTTTTGGAGGGAATGTAATAACGAATTTTTGCTCGTCCATTTAAAAATCATAACAAACTCCAAGAGTTAACATCACCTACTTGGACGCGCAAAATTACAGGACATGTCCACCGGCTATTCATACCACTATTAAGATGAGGGCACTCAATGTTCAACAATAACAACAACTACCAAACAATCGGCGTCAAACTCAATAATTAATACACGAAAAAGGAACTGTTCAAGTTTCAATCAGGTATGATCCATAGGTAAGTCTGTTCAATTCCTGGTTTGTACTCATGACATTTAGTGAATAAATCACCACCCTTGATGAAGCGTTGTCGAATTCAAGGCATTGTTTGGATCCAATCTCAACCTGATCTCGACACGTGTTTTCATTGAATTGAATGAAACCAAACACCGAAAAACAAGAACACTCCCCCCTCTATCATCTTAAATCAATTCAATAATACATTTTACGATGATAATGTAGAACAGTAGCAACTTTCATCACTCACAACTACCAATAGGAACACAACTCAATTTCAATGATTCAGTCATCAAAAAGACTCACTCGCATTAAGATTCCATAACAGTGTTTCGGGATAGGGCTCAACAACGATAATTCAATATTCATCCATGGTGAGAACAGCATCAATGAATTATGGCTGATTTTATTGAGGGTGTATAATAATCTATAATGGTTCACAGCAACAATTACTTTGGAGATCAATCATGGAAGCTGTTCAAGGCCAACATATCACTCTTCAATCAACGTTAACTGTATCCAATTTAGAGGGAATACCGACTTTTGCTCGTCCATATTTGAATTATGGCCAACTTCAAGAGTTACATATCACCAACTTGGACGCACAAAATATTTAACTATTTTCACATTCAACTCGAACGAAACAGCAGCGCCTTACTTCCTTACATCTTAATTGATGGAAATATTCAAGTTTTGATCATTCAACGATAATTTTTGAGGATGGTCAACCACCACAGGACCTGATTTTTTTGGTACAAATATAGAGGCTATCTCGATATCCACTATAACAACAAGAAATCTTTCGCTTAATATCTCCTTCCTCTCTGCGTGGGACTAATTGATATTAAAAACAAGTTATATATTGTTATATTGAATCTTTCTAAAAATCCTACTGAGAGGAATCCAAACCCAAGTAGGTGGAGCCAAACCCAACATTCATCATGATACTCCACCAATAATAATCATATCCATCATCAATAGTCATAGAAATGCTCTTCACAATGTATTATACAACATTGCAATCATTGGTTTATCAAAAAACTGAATCAGTCAATTGTTATAAAATGATCATTCAATCATACAACAAGATATACCAACAACAATTCAGTATGATCACTTTCAAACACTCACAATCACATGAAACACTTCTACAATGATAATCATAACGTGTCATGATGATAGAATGAATGACATGAACAAGAGAGGAGAGTTGTACCCTTCCTCAAGAAATGATCATTTCCGAGAAAAGCGAAGTGCTCCCATTCCATGAAACAATCATGTCAATGAATAAAACTGATGATTTGTTGTTTGGATGATCAGAACATCCATCCATATCAATTTCATGAAGTTCTGTAAAGTGCTAGTCTCGATCGTACTTTTCAACACTACCATAGAGCCACCATCACACTGCACATCACACAAAGTCATGAAATGACCATCACTTTGAACTGAATCAACGATCAATTCCATGGTTCCTGATCACTGTAACAACATTCCGATCATCAGATTCATTCCATGATCATCACATGAAAGCTAAAAATATTTTTAAAAAATTTTTAAAAGTCAAAAATATTCATGAATCTTTAAAACTTTGGGAAGGTCTATCTCCTTAAATCCGAGAAATAAGATGCTAGTCCTTGAACCATCTCAAAATCCCTAATAAAAATCTACAACTAAGGTTTTATTACTATCACAACTTTAAGGTCTATAATCTCAATAACTACTTCACAGAATTGAAATATTTAATGATCAATAGTCACCACTGAATGCAAATATCTCATGTCCCAACGATGGTGGTTTTCTGACCACTCTATCACCGATGAAGAAAAACGCCTGTAGTTTAAGAGTTCATATCTCAAGAACCACAACGAGTTAGAGCAAGTGAATACCATCAAAAGATAGATAAACTCAAACGACTAGGGGGTCTCTTTTGAAGAAATAGTGTGATTATGTCTGGTTATTGAGAAAATCGCGGAATGCCTCTTTCCAAACCCTAAGCGAGTACAGTTCAATAATTACCCATAATTAATGGATGAAAGTCGTATCAACACATAGATATACCTCCATCCCCGACGATTTCATAAAAATTAAAAATCCAATGATTAAGCATGTCGAAAAATTAAGATTACAAGTCAAGCTGGGCAGCTAAAAATATTTTTAAAAAATTTTTAAAAGTAAAAAATATTCATGAATCTTTAAAACTTTGGGAAGGTCTATCTCCTTAAATCCGAGAAATAAGATGCTAGTCCTTGAACGATCTCAAAATCCCTAATAAAAATCTACAACTAAGGTTTTATTACTATCACAACTTTAAGGTCTATAATCTCAATAACTACTTCACAGAATTGAAATATTTAATGATCAATAGTCACCACTGAATGCAAATATCTCATGTCCCAACGACGGTGGTTTTCTGACCACTCTATCACCGATGAAGAAAAACGCCTGTAGTTTAAGAGTTCATATCTCAAGAACCACAACGAGTTAGAGCAAGTGAATACCATCAAAAGATAAATAAACTCAAACGACTAGGGGTCTCTTTTGAAGAAATAGTGTGATTATGTCTGGTTATTGAGAAAATCGCGGAATGCCTCTTTCCAAACCCCAATATTTCTGGATAATTTCTTCTTTCTTGTCTTGGTTGGAAAAGTAAAACATATTTACCCATGCCAAACAAATATGATATGATCTCTTGACTGTCTGCCAAAACATTTCAGCACTCATATATTTTCCAAAGTTTGATAAATGGGACATAGCATGCGTTTTTCTTAACCATGATTCACGTTCTTTGTTTGTTTCACTGTAAACTCTATCAACAAGAATCTTTGCCGACTGTACTTTCCCTCTAAAGGTGATCTCATGGGAAACTGTAACATTGTTCAACAAATAATTTAGAGAAGTGGCTAAAACCTCAATCTTTCGTCTCCTTGTGTTAGGAGAGACGTATTGTAGCTCCTCTTCGCTTGATAAAGCTGATAGAAAGCTTTTAAGAGCATTAATATTCAAGAAATAATTGAAAAACTCTTTGGATTTGTAAATAATCCTTTGAACAAACATGGTATAATTGAGGAAAATGGACAAGCCAGAAAGGAACCGTTCTTTCCTTGCTTCTTTTGATTCTTCTGATCTCTTATTCACATTCTTTCCTGTGGTGGTTATGTATTCACAAAGAGCATCAATCTGAGTATACATAGATCTAAACCATTCCATGGACACAAGTCCGGTTTTGCTGTTTATGTCCAGTTTTAAAGAATTCTTTGCTCGTACATTGGCAGGGTCCTTTATCCATCCATTAATGTGTTCTATAATATATAATCTCGCAACATTATTAGAAGTCATCTTATTAGAGACTGTATTTGTCTTCTTCTGTTTGTCTTCTTCTTTTAGAGAGGCTGGACCGCCATCGTCTTCAAAATGATACAATAACATAGAAGAGTCGAACTCTCTTTGGAATTGTGCCTTCCATGTTTCAACTAAATTTGTTGTGTCATCAACAAGAACACCATTAGATGGTGTGTATGCATGTTCAAACTGTGACTGGTAACTTTTTCTTTTGCTTGCTATTTTACGATTAATATTGCTTTTATCTCTTGATGACCCTTCTTGGTCGTCATTGATAATATGTAACAAGCCTAATTGTTTGTCTCTTTTAGTTATTTCACTACGAAACTCCTTTTTTATGAACAAACCATCCTCGGCAAAATGTAGGTTTTTTTTACGAAAATTTACCATTACATTTCGATAATATTTCTCGTATTTGCCTTGTCTGTTGCGAATAAGGCCAGCCTGTATCCAAACGTAGAAGTAACTTGGTGTGTACACTGGTAGTTTACTTTTTGCGTACACAAAAGAGGACTCCTCTCGGGTAATGGCAAATAGATAATGGACTTGTAGTCCAATCATCTTGAACCCGAGAGGTTGCAGATTATTCTGCACGATATAGTCCATTGCTGTGAAGAGGGTGGATTTGTAGATGTAGGAGTGTCCGTTTTTGGGAGATAATTCTTCTACAACTTCATCATCGCTATCAGAAGCCTCTGAATTATCATAATTTAATTCAACACCGTCAGAGGTATCATCAGAGTCATAACCGTGAGAGGCATCTCCGGAGTCATAACCAGAATCATCATCAGAGTCATCACCGTGATCTTGATCGCTCTCCAAAGAAACAGAAGAGTCGTATCCGATTAGTTCTTCTTCCGAGTCCAATCTTTTTCTCTTGTTCATTTTGAGCATTTTTTTTGTATGAAGAAATTTTAACCCTCAAAATCCTCTTTGCTGATTTAACTTGACCATGATAAAAACTTACTTCATAGTTTCCTCAACAGAGATGTGGATTACGTTCTAAAGGTCAGACTCTATCAATACGTGAAAAAAGTAATCCTTAAATCGTAATGGTTACTTTGTTATAACAACTCTCGGACTGGTGAGAAGTATTAAAGTGTAATTCAATAACTACTTAATAACTACCAAAAATTCAACTCTCTCTATATTCTATGGATTAAAACCTAATATCTGTCCAAGAAATGGAATCGTTATTTTAGATATTTTGGTCAAGAGGGACATTTGACGTGATCTGACCAGGAAAGCTCATTTTGATCCTTAATATCTCAACAACTACTTCACAAATATTAAAATTTTCAAAACGTACATCTAGATAACATCAATACCTAATTGTTGATATATAGTATGTAACCTAGAAATCAAAGATCATCATGAAAAAAGCCTCTGGAGAGAAACGTGCACTTCCTCACAAGTCAGTTTCTGTTTCTTCAATTTAAATCTAATAACAATATTTCACCCAGTGAGTTACACAACATATTCAAATTAGAGATGATATCAATCAGTATTTATCGAAATAGAGCCTCACTTCAAGTTTTGGCTTGACTTTTCTATCATTTTGAACTTTGAAATTTTTTAAAAATATTCCACCTCCAGCGAAAAACCGACTCTCCAACACTGGAGCTGATTCATTCAACAGGTACGTCATTGTTCATGTCACAAACAATACAAACACTCTACAAAGCTCTCATACACACTACACTCTTCGTTTAATTATCAGGAGAATATCATGTCAAGCAACATCACCCTCATGGACACACTCTGAGGTTAGGAGTACCACATTTCCGCGTCAGGAGTCAGTCATCAGCACACAACCATAATATTAGTGTTCTACATGGTGAGTAACACTTCATATATCAATTTGAGATACAGCTGATCAGTATTTATTGAAAAAGAGCTATATTTCATATTTTCGCTGGACCTCTCTATCATTTTGAACTTGGAATTTTTGAGTCCAAAATATTTTTACAAAAAATTACAAGTCCTCAAAAACCTTGTGTTCCAATTTCATTGCTTCTCTCTGGTTTTACAGTTTGAAATACCAGTCCGATAATAAATAATCATCCCCTCTTCATTTACAACATTAAATTTTTTTTTGGGCCAATTTACCTTCAAAATTCAGAGTGAAATAACTCAACAACCACTTCACATCTCTTAGAAATTTCAACACCATTAGAAAGCAAATGAAAATTAGCCTAGGATTTGAGTATATCTCGTCCTCAGCAGTTAACTTCGGACCGTGGACAGGACTTATTGAAATCAAAATTTTTTTTTGATAGTAAAGTCGTTAAAATGGCTCAAAAAAAAGAGTAGGTAGAGCCAAACCCAACGAAAGTAAAGGATTGAGAAACAGTATTTCCAGTTGGATTCACAAAGGTAAAGTTCTTCTTGTCAGAAGTGAGAGAAAGAGTACCTGATGACGGGGTTGTGTAACTGCTAATATAAAGGTTGCTACTATCGGCAGAATCTGAATCGGTTGGTTTCAATGAGTCAGTTCTACTCACCACTGGAATAGATAAAGAATAAGCATTGGAGAAATGAACAGAAATTGGAATGTTGTAAGCCACAGGTGCAGTGTTTGTAACAATGACCGTAAAAGTGGCAGAGGAAGAAGTCCAGCCATCCGTAAATGATACAGTAAAAGTATCAGTTCCTTTCCATGCAGAACTCAATTTGTAAGTTACAACGTTATTGGAACCTAGAGTCACAGTTGCTTGGTTTACTTGTGTGACCGCTGTAACAGTGACACTGTTTGAATCAGAATCAGAAAATCTTGACGCAAGACTAATGTTGACTCCAGTTGAATAAACACTTCTCCAATGGTAAGTAAATGAAGTGGTATTTGCTGTTGGAGCACCATTATTAATGGTAATGGAGATGGTTCCAGATACATATTCTTTGGAATCTGAAATTACAAAGGTAATGCTATTTACAGAGCCAACAAAACCACTCGTAGGCTTAAATAAAATTGATTTTCCACTGCCTGTTAAGGTCAATGTTCCTTGACTCGATGTTATGGATGTAGCTGGTCAAATTTTTGACCTGGAAAGTCCTGGTTCAGGAAGGTTAAAAATTTTGACCGGGAATATATTTGGTCAAATGTATACAAACGGACGGCAAGGCCAAATCGATTTCCTTAATGTATGATGTGCCTTAATCAACGTGCCTTCGCAAAAAACAGCGGCAAACAGTGGCGTTGAAAAAACTTCATCATCATCAGTAAATTATTTCGCTTCATCTTTGGATTATGATCATCGGCAACTCATCAGCAATGCTGTCTGATTGGAACTGTTACCTCCATCTTTATTGCACTAAAATTCCTCAATTCTTCACTGAGTTTTTGCGAAGCTTTCAAACCAAGAAATTTCTCCATTAACAGTAACCCGATCTAGTCCGAACTCGATGAATACTAGAGAACCATATTGCAAGCTGTGCTGTTAGGATGGGCTCTTTGAAAGTTCCTTATCATGGTTTCGGTCGTGTTGATCTTCTTCTTATTGGGATGAAGCGGTTTGGATAGAAATTTGTTCTTGGCTGCTCCGAATATGAAGGAAACAGGATCGAAATCTGAAAATGCTTCCATACGTGCTCATCAACCTCGGTAATGTGTGCACCAAATTTCGTGGTGTGATTCGAAGGAAAAGTCCATCATCGTTGTTACTCTTTAGTATCCTGTATTTTTCCTAAGCCAATTAAGGCCACGTAAAATCTTGGCTCGTACTTCACAGACTCTGCTACAACTTGATATAATTGTTGTCCTTATAATATCAACATCATTATCATTGAGTAATCTCATCTATTCATTCCGGTATTTCGACGGAGAGAGATGGGTAACAAGGGTCATCATATTCGTGGTATTTTCTATAACCACAACACATTTATCAATATATTGATATAAATTTCAAACTTCTTAAGCTGTGGCGGTGTATTGGTTGTAGACGATAAGATACAATTATGTTACATCATCGAGAGCCTTAATGTTTTCGCCCAAGAACAAAGCGAAGCCATATTCTTTCCTCCTCTTTGGTTTGATGATCACAAAAATAATCAACCCATCTGTACCGTAATGTAGTGTTTGGAAGAGATCATCGGAAGCCCTTATTCACGAAATCGTGTTTCATCTGAAACTTGCCGGTCAAATTTTTGACCTTAAATTTTGACCTGGCAAAACAGTTGAAAATTTGACCGGCTACAATGGAAGTGTAAGACGACAGAGTAAGGGAATCCGAGTCAGAATCCGAAGAGTTACCAATCACAGCAAAGGTGATGCCATTAACTGCAGATGACCACAGTCCATTGAATGATAGATTTTTAGTTGTAGGTATAGAATTTGTCACGTTAACACTCACTTTGGCCGTGGTTGTCGTCACGCCATCGGAAATGACATAGGTGAAAGTATCGACACCCAATGATGCTGTTTTAGGATAGTAAATAATTTTGTTGTTTTGAATAATTGGAGACGTGGAAGCCGATGATCCATACAAGGATGTTATATTAAGGGAATCACCATTTGGATCAACGTCATTAAATAATACGTCCAGGGTCAATGAAGTAACATTCCAATGCGTAGTAAACGAGTCATCTGTTGCAGTTGGAGCATTATTATAAACTACTAGAGTCACAGTATTGGTTACATCACCATTCGATGCATCATCAGTAACCACATAACTGAACGAAAGAGATCCGGTATATGCTGTCGAAGGCGCTGAAATTGTAACATTGGTTGAAGAGCCAGAAGTGACAGAAACACTTCCCACTGATGGTTGTGATGACATACTCTTCAATCTCAACGAGTCACCATCAGAATCGGTATCTGTTGGAGACAAATTCAAAACGTTTAAATAAATCCATCTCTAAACGTTCTC